TACTGGGTCTGATATTTATACTTCTGTATTTATCAATCATGTTATGAGTTATATATATTTTTTTCAACATGCTGTACATATCCAGTTTAAAATTCACCTTTTTGATAGATTCTCAAATGACTTTCTGTTTGGGTTGCTTCACCAATTGACAAGTCTGTATGTAAGTGGATGCGATCGTTATATTTTTATATATTAATTATGATTGCTTTCTCTCTATGGCACTAGTGAATATTGACGGTTTTCCAGTGTAAAACCCACTTTTTCTAGAAGAATTTTGCAGTAACTTTTAGTTAATTGTTTTATGTGCTACATCATCAAGAGGTAGACAAGATTATTATATTTTTATGTATAAATTATTTGTTTTCAGCATTTCCTCTTCTACTTTGCGTTGTATTGATACCTTGATGTTTTAAATTTATCTTTTACAGGAATTCTAAGATGACTTTTGTAAATTAGTTTGTTAGTTTGTGTTACATCATGAAGCAATAACTTTGCTTGTAAAAAAAAGACTCTTTTTTACACATTTGGGCATATAGGGCTAGACCTTTTCTTACAGACCAGTCAGCACTTGGTGGGTGATGTGGTCAGCATCACACCAGCCAATAGCGCATATAGGGCTTGACGTATATTTTATAGACCAGTCAGCACTTGGTGGGTGATGTGTTCAGCATTACACCAGCCAATAGCGCATATAGGACTTGACGTATATTTTATAGACTAGTCAGCACTTGGTGGGTGATGTGTTCAGCATCACACCAGCCAATAGCGCATATAGGACTTGACTTATATTTTATAGACTAGTTAGGACTTGGTGGGTGATGTTTTCAGCATTACACCAGCCAATAGCGCATATAGGACTTGATGTATATTTTATAGACTAGTTAGCACTTGGTGAGTGATGTGGTCAGCATCACACCAGCCAATAGCGCATATAGGACTTGACGTATATTTTATAGACTAGTCAGCACTTGGTGGGTGATGTGGTCAGCATCACGCCAACCGTCTTTACTACCAGGACTTTACCTGGTACCCATTTCAGGCTGGGTCAACCTGGGAGCCAAAGTCATTTAAAAAAAAAAAAAAATCTGGCTCCCTCAGGACCTGAACCCCCGACCTTTCGATCCACAAGCTACGGCGGCAACTCTACATGTAAACAAACACATTCTATTTATGTATATAAATTATAATGGGTAATTTTCTCCAGTCTTTATTCTTTTTTACTAGGGTGTATTTATATCTTACAGTTTAAGAAATAAAATATGTATTACAGCACACATAATATCTTGATATACCTAACCAAGGCAAGGAGACACTTGACAGAGAATCAATCCCACAGTTTTCATATTAGCAAGTGCTGCTTCTCTGCCATTGAGGTGCTCCTGTAATGCATGTCAGTTTTCCCCACCATTTTGCAGCCATCCATTACCGACTGAATGTATGTCCAAGATTTGTACTCGTTACTTAATGATTTCCTTATTCATATCTCTTCAGTGTGACAAGGACAGGCACAAATATTTATAATTTACTTTATAGAACTGGTGAATTGTGTATTACATTTCCTTTGTCGATTGAAGATACATGTATTCAATCATTTTCAAATGTTGATATGAAAGCCTTGCATGAAGAACTGTATAAACTGAGGATGTTACAAAGTTTTTCAGTTTTTTTAGATGGATAAACATACTTTGAAGAACCTTGTTGCTGCCTTCATCTGGAGGCAACAGGTTTAATTTCCAGTGTAGATTTTACTTGTTATGTTGCTTTTTGTGTCAGCCATGTTTACTTCTGTTTTCTGCATCTGTGAGTGCACTCAGTGCACTACAGTGTGTTTCATCATACCACCACACATACCATTTGGAGGCCTCAAATTGTTTCACAGTGATTTATTTCTGCTAACACATGGCACATTGTCAGAAAATCTGGCTTGCATTTGTTTGTTTTGTACAACTTGTCAGAACTGGTAAACTGATTTTGTTTCAATGTGACCATGTGAATAAAGTGTAATGAATATTTCAGTTTTCCTATGAACACATGAAGAAGAAAAAGTTTTTTTTTTTTTCTGTAAGTATTTCTAACTGCATGCACATTTTAATATCACCTTTGTTTTGGAAGATTTGTGTTTTAGTTGGACAAGTTGACCTATTAAAGATTTTTAAGATATTTGTTATTAACGTGTTTTTGTCACACCTGGTTAATATGCTTTTGTATGGCTAGGTTGTTAACTGTTTTTTGTTTTCTTTTCTTAAATTGATATCACAGGTTATAGTATATATCCCATTCTCTCTCTCTCTCTCTCTCTCTCTCTCTCTCTCTCTCTCTCTCTCTCTCTCTCTCTCTCTCTGGCTCTGTCTTTCTCTTTTCCTACCTCTCTTCCTGCAGCATCGCTCATGTCTTTTTCTCTGTCTCCTCTCTCTGTGTGTTTTATTTTATCTCTATGTCTATGCCTATTGCTGTGTATTTATTTGTGATTGTCTTTTCCTTTTTTATGTCCATTTATCTTTTTATATGTGTTTAAAATCCTCCTTCCACTGTCTCTTTCTGTGAAATCTGTCTTTCTGCCTATGTCTCTTTCTATCATCTCCCCCCCCCCTCCCCATCTCTCTCTCTCTCTCTCTCTCTCTCTATATATATATATATATATATATATATATATATACACAGACACATGGAAACATGGAAAGAACAATTACCACCAGTTGACAGCCACAGTTAGCTGATTGTAATGTATATAAAAATGGTGGTTCATATAAAAGAACACATGTGGTTGAGTTTTTTTCTTTCTAGAAAGCAGCTGGAACTGGAAAAGAACACATTTAAATCACATTTCCACATTTATTAAAAAAATGTATATTATATTGATAAAAAAATGTGCATCCTTTCCGTGACATAGAAAAACTACACACATAAGATGGTGTCCTTGTCAAACGAAAACTCCATATTAATACTGTAGCTGTGATTTCATACATAAATGCTCCATTCCTTCGTCTCTTACATACCAGATACACCATACTCTTCATTATTTCTGAATTTTAAATAGAGGGTAAATGCAGTCAAGCTGATGTAAATGAGTTCTAAGAAAAACACAGACTAGAAAGCTCAACTGAAGGAATAGAAACAACAAGCTCACATAAACATTTGTTGATCTTGGTTAATTAGAACAATGTTTCTCCACCTTTTTTTATCCCCGCGGCCCACCAATTCAGAGAAACTTGTTTCGCGGCCCACCTGACAGCTGACCAAACACAGAAACTAAATCAAATTTAGATAGCAGGAATTTTTGTTGAATTTGATGTCACATAATTACAACTGTCAGCTAATGTGTCGTCTGCTGCTGCTCAGAGGTTGGAAAATCTATGCGGGTGAGCAGTGTTTCCAGGATTTGTACCTGTTTGGATTCTCATCATTGAGGTGTTGGTCCTATAGACTGCAGTCCTGGAAGAGAAGAACTACCTATCCTACCCACTTACATTATTAGACAAAACATTTTGGTGGGCCATGGTCCAATGGTTGAAGAACTCTGCTTTTGACGTGCTGTCTTGTCCATTTGTGCTGTCTTGTCTGTCCATTTAGTTTTCCCTTCACAGTGTGTGCTGTATTTAAAAGACTTGTAAGGTTCAGTTGTATCTCTGTGCATCTTTTCCATTCCTACTAAGCTCTCTAGTCACATTTTATGTTGTATTTAGCACTAAGTTTTAAAGTTTGTTTTCTCTCTAAACATCTTGACCGCCTATGTCTACTTTCTGTAATCAGTTGATGGTTTTCTCTCTAAACATCTTGACCGCCTGTGTCTACTTTCTGTGATCAGTTGATGGTTTTCTCTCTAAACATCTTGACCGCCTGTGTCTACTTTCTGTAATCAGTTGATGGCTTTCTCTCTAAACATCTTGACCGCCTATGTCTACTTTCTGTAATCAGTTGATGGTTTTCTCTCTAAACATCTTGACCGCCTGTGTCTACTTTCTGTAATCAGTTGATGGTTTTTATCTGTTGCTTGTCCTTGTGTGGGTTTCAGCGCCCCATAGCTGGGGGGGGGGGGGGAGTCCGGCTCTGTTAGGACCAGAATCGACGACCTTCCGATCTGCAAGCGAGCGCCTAGCCGCTACACCACGGCGACTCCCTGTACGTTCATATAGATGAGTAAATTTCCAATAGTTTCTTCTTCTGCCTTCGCCCTCAAAAGATAATTGTCACTTGTGTTGTGTTTTATTGTTTGTTTGTTCGTTTTAGTATCCAGAAGCCATGAGTTGTTAATGTTAACCCTTAGGCTCGGTATTATGGGTATCGCAACCTTTCGGCCTTGATTCCATTGTAAATACCATAAATCTGGGAGAAAATATGGTTTTCCTGCCTACCCCCGGGATTGAACCCGGACCACAAGGAGTTCGTCACCTGGTCTCCGCGCAATCCGGTTTACCCACCTACGATAGAGAGCCGGGCTGTTGTGTTTTATAGATTGTTGTGATACCTAAGCATTTCAGTCCAAAACATCCGATTTCAGCAAACACAAAATTAGTGGCATTTTACGATATGCTGTTTACGGATCAGTGGGTCTAGTCTACACCCCCCGCCCCCACTCATCCCACAAGGGGCCTTATAACCCATACAAAGAAAATTCCCTGTCAGTGAAACAATTAATAATAACATATGATGACGACGAAAGCAGAAACGATTTTATCAGTTCAATTTCAGTTTCTAATGTCTGGGATATCTGCCTATTAAACGACTGTTATAACCAGCGCACAAGATTTATTTCATATACAAAATACACATAACACACATGCACATAGCATAGCTCATATACAGAACATTTTTGTAAGAGTAAGAAGCAAAAGTGGTTACTGGTCGGCATGTCTGAATGTTCATGCTTATGTAAACCGTACGAGAGGAAGAGGGAGATAGAAACACACACACACATATATATATATATATATATATATGGTTGTATGGACACATTTGGAGGTTTACATCTCAATGGTTAGCCCAGTGCCAGCACACACTGACTAAATATCATCTCCAGCTTCTTCATTCTCCACCAGGGTGTCTACACCAACTTCTTCGTAGTCCTTCTCCAGGGCAGCTAGGTCCTCGCGTGCCTCGGCGAATTCACCTTCTTCCATGCCTTCGCCGACATACCTGTGTAGTGGGTATTTGCCGAGAAATATGAGCATTTGGCATGATCTGTCTGTTTATGAATGTCTGTCTTTTATCTATCTATCTATCTATCTATCTATCTATCTATCTATCTATCTATCTATCTATCTATCTATCTATCTATCTATCTATCTATCTATCTATCTATCTATCTATCTATCTATCTATCTATCTATCTATCTATCCATCCATCCATCTATCTATCTATCTATCTATCTATCTATCTATCTATCTATCTATCTATCTATCTATCTATCTATCTATCTATCTATCTATCTATCTATCTATCTATCTATCTATCTATCTATCTATCTATCTATCTATCTATCTATCTATCTATCTATCTATCTATCTATCTATCTATCTATCTATCTATCTATCTATCTATCTATCTATCTATCTATCTATCTATCTATCTCTATCTATCTATCTATCTATCTCTATCTATCTATCTATCTATCTATCTATCTATCTATCTGTCTGTCTGTCTGTCTGCCTGCCTGCCTGCCTGCCTGCCTGCCTGCCTGCCTGCCTGCCTGCCTGTCTGTCTGTCTGTCTGTCTGTCTGTCTGTCTGTCTGTCTGTCTTTTTCTTTGGGTCAAGGTGTCTCTAACACCGCCCTCTCTTTCGTATCTCTACCTGTGTATGTCAACATCTATTTGCCACACCCCTTCCATCGCCACCCCCCCCCAACACCCCCCCCCCCCAGAGTAGGGCTTCAAATAACGAAAAATTGCATCTTGCAAGGAGATGACTGTCTTAACACACAGGGAATCTAGCAATTCTTATGATTCGTGGCGTTGGTCAACGTATACGTCAGAAACCCTTTGTCTCGCGTACTGTCCATTATTTATTTCTTATACATGTGTTCCACTTTGCCAATATACCAAACTGGAGTCATCCGTTTCATTTTTATACCAGGTCACTCTGGGGTAAAAGGAAATGAACGCGTGGATTGGCTTGTTGGCAAGGCCACAATAGGCAGAGGTTAAGCAATGGACTAGGCCGATGTTCTCATTACTTTCAAGGAGGCAGGAGGGGTGGCTGATTCAGGAGAAGAGGGTGAATCTGCAACCTTAACACGACTGCAAGAAAGGTATATTAAAACAGGTATCGCCAGACATGAACACTATACAGGTGGTCAAAGAAGAAGAATATACCTATGCATGCGTTTTCTGTCGCCTTACGCCGAGGGAGATACTGAAGATGGGATCTAAGCGCTTATGGGCTTGTTTGATGTGCAATGAGGGTAATCAGTCGATTAACTAACTATATATCAAAATGCTCAATGGGAACTAGCCCTGCCTTTCTTATCTTTTTTTTCCCCTTCACAACACAGTTCGGTCATCTCTGTTGATGACATCCCCTCTTCAATGTATGACTATCCCAGCCAGCATAAGGAAACATCTCATACGCAGAATTGTAATTCCTACTCGATGATACCAGCGCCAATCATGGTCACTCACAACAAACCAGAAAAGAAAATTAGCTACCACGAAAATCAGATTTCTTACCAAAAGAGATAAAATGAGGGATGAGGTCATAAGAGAAAAATTCGGCACAGAACCAATGTTAAATTTCACACAAAGACAGTAAATCAAATTGTGGTCCTATTCACGTTTCCTGACCCATCTACACACTTTCTCAGTCCAGTTTAGGTCAGAGGGGTTTCAAGTTGTAGTGTTTTCTGGTAAAAGAGTCTGTCGTGGAACCTAGGCTCATGCTGTGGGTAGGTGGATTTGGATTAGGGCTAGTTCTAGATGTTCTGGGGTCATTAACAGCTGTGTCGTTGTGTAGTATAGAACACGCGACATCAGCGCCGCTGATGTAATTAGAGGCAAGACAACGTAGAACAGTCTGAGACAGTATGAATGAAAGGGTAGCCAGTGTGTAGATGGGCCGGGAAACGTGAATAGGACCCAAATTGCTTGTCCACTTAGAGAAAATGCGTTGTGAACCATATCATACAAGGCATAGACCAAGAGAGCAGACGGGCGTAGAGCACACGGTAGACCAAGAACAACATAGAAAGACAGCATCAGAGAAATTCTACAACAGCACGACGTGTCTATTGTCGAAGCGACTAGAGTGTTTCCGTCGAAATCCCAAGTGCAAAACAGGAAGTGAGGAAGAAGTGGGTGTCATTCCCAAAGATTATAGACTGTTCTCATCTGTTGCTAGTAACCTACCACTAAAAAGTTAGTCGCAAATCCTTTACAGAACCAACTCCGGCAGTTTGTTTGTTTGTTTGTTTGTTTGTTCATGGTTTCACAAGGAAATCTAACACTCACCAGTGCACAAATGCCCGTTTGGCATACATGAGGTCGAACTTGTGATCCAGTCTGGCCCAAGCCTCGGCCACTGCGGTGGTGTTGCTCAGCATACAAACAGCACGTTGAACCTTGGCCAGGTCGCCACCAGGCACTACAGTTGGAGGCTGGTAGTTGATACCCACCTGTAGCAAAAGAGGAATTAAGTATATATATAAGGTTATTGTGACTATGTGTATGTGCGCCATATAAAATAGCTTAGCAATGCTCACCACCCAGTAACCCTGAAAAGGACTCCTGCAGTGTTGATGCGATCAATAAAGACAGACCCAAATACTATCCCAACCGGCAGCGAAGTCGTCTACCGGCCACCCAATGAGCGACCCAGTTGTCGATGGGTGTATAGTATATTTTTAATGTACAGTAGTTATAATAGCACCACCTACGTCACAGGCATACAAATTCGAAGGTAATCTCTCGCACGGCTAATAATTGTTGTACTCATTAACAGCGTGCTACTGTGATGGCTGATAATATTTATGTGTCGCCGCTGTGTGCTTGCACGAGTTTACCACACATGGATCAAACACAGTTGAGGTTAGCAGTTTACGGCGCTTAGCTGAGGTAAGTGTTTAGATTTATCATCATCTGTCGTTAGCATGTAAGGTATTAAACGATTAATATATTCTAGGCTACAGGGCTGTCCCAGCCTAGAGACTTAGGTAGCCTGAGACCTACTGCCTCAAAAACAACAACAACAAATTGGTGGATTGGGTGCGAGGGATGGGATGGGGGTGGGGAATTCGACTGAGGGACTGAGTCCTTCTAAAAAAAATTGGTAGTGGCCGTCCTAATCATACATAGAAGTTCTCTTTTTAAGTGTTTGTTCACACATCTCCTATGTATTAAAAATATTATTATATTTTTTTGATATCCAATCTTGCAATATTTTTATTCCACACTTAAACAGGGCTTATGTTTCTTAGCCTTCCTGTTTGTCAGTTTATAGTTTCATGAAATAGATTTTGTCCATCATAGGTTATTTTTACGTTTTCCGCCCCAAACAGAGCGTAAGTGGCCTTTCATTCATGCTTTCTCACTTTTCACGCATGCTAGTCTATGTTACAGGAGTGTCACGTAGCGTTGTTTTCGACGCTCTCATGGGCGATGACGCCTGTACTATGTTACACGATGTTAGAAGAGTTAGATGTAATTTCCTGTTCCATAATGCAATATAAAGTTGTATTTCTTTAACCCCCCTATCGCCCCACCCTCCGCCCATCTCTTTTCTTGTCGACCTCTTGTTGACTTGTAGCCTGCTGTTCTCATGAAGTTATGAGTTGCATTATCTTCACAGCACTCCGGACACATCCATAGATGCTCTTCAAGATACTCATCAGCGTTGCGCCGTTAATAGTGCCAATCCTATGTTGGTTGACAAGACTTCTTGTGCGTTAGGTGTGCTTCTCATGCTTGGCTGTGCCGATCTTTACTCCAAATTCTGTATTCTTAGCAGTGATGTGGACACGTTACTTCAAAACTCTTCAGAATGTCCTATCTCTCTAAGGGCACTGACAATGTCTGAGTGATCCATGGGCCAGCAGTCTGCAATTAATGCAGAACCTGCGAGTCTATAAGCTCTTTCATTACCACGCCAAGCTGCTGACTGATTTTGTTCCATTCTGACCCGATGACTATACCATTAAACATCTAGCTGTTTATATCCGTCCATACCTCATTCTTTAATTTTCTATTACCGACCCTCTTGCTCAGTAGCCCATATAAGGTTAATTTCGCTCTCATTTGCTTCTGTAGACATTAAAATGACTCGATCTACACTTCACTGTCACCGATACATCTCACATCCTATTAGAAAGCATAGGACATGTTTCTTTCATCAGTGCTGAGGCTACGCTGATGTTGTTGTCTAAGTAAAAGTGACATCTTCATTGATTTTTGTCGTGTACGTTATCGTGAACACCACGAGAGCTTCACTGGAAGAATCTTTACGGAAATAGACGAGGCGGAGGAGTGAGGATGTGTATTAAGAGAGGATATCGATTAACGTTTTGTAGGAGCAAAATTCTGCAAACTTTTCCTCTCCACTTACGTTTTCCTTATACTTGTTTGTATTGCCGTGAGTATTGAGAAAACTTGCGTTAATAATACTTTTCAGTTATTTTGTTACAGACATCCAAGAGAGGCAGCCTTAAATTGATTGGCAGCTTTCCGTCTTCTTCTTCTTCTTCTTCTTTTCCAATTACTGCTTTTATTACCAGTTTTGCGGTGTAGGCGGGGGAGGGGGTGGGAGTGGGAGGGGGTCTTTGAACCTGAGGATTTACGGCCGCATGGCTAGTGCTGCCGCCACGACTGTGCAGATGAATTTTGCCCTCACAGAAAAAATTCCCAGTCTTACCGAGGATTTGAATCCGAGTCTCCTGCTTGAGAGCCCAGCGTCCAACCGTTCGGCCAGCCGCTCCTCTACGTCTTTCCAGACGATAGTGTAATATTGCGCACTACGAGGAGGCACGGGACTCACAACCCATGGCGATGGAGAGTGTGACTAGCAAGACCCGCACCATAGCACAAAGCCTGGGCAGTATTGCAGAGACGATATGTCCATTTAACCATACTTTAAAGGAAAGGTAACACCAGTACGTTTGGAAACAAAGCTGGCTGTAGAAGCTGCCGGATCAGAAGAGCCTTGCTCTATCTGTCCGGAGTCATATGCCCGATGCGCCTCTGACAATAACATATTTTTTTTTTTTAAAGTTTGTACTTGGCATGCGCGTTTTGATATGGGCATCTTTTTTTTTGAATCCCCTTCAGAGTGAAAGCTTGACAAGACTCTTCGGGAGTGAGAAAGACAATTCCCAAAATCTAAATCTGTGGTTTTCAACCTTGTCTTTCAGGCGGTGAATCCTTTATATATTTCCACCACATAACCCTCACTCCCTCCCACAAACTTACACAAATGTGATTGAAAAGATTGAGAACTTAAAAACAAAAATCCTAAGCACTATTAACAACAATGTGGAAAAACACATCCACATCAATCAAAGTTTCAAATAGCATAACTTACTTGGGTGCTTTTCCAATATTTCCCCCCAGGATGACGTCACGGGAGTCCAATATTTTCGAGGGTGGTAAGTCCTTATTTCCCTGCTTTCTGATGCTTTTAACTACCCCAAAACATTTAGAACTGGATCCAACCCCAACCTACCAACATCCCACGAGAAACTGCTGCCTTGGTCCCACGACTGCATGCAGCCTATCTATCACCTCCTAAAATATTCGACTGTCTATATTTTTTTTATATATATATATATTTTTTTTAAATGTGTTGAATTTTTAATTTTACTGGAAAACAGTGTAAGTTTGACAGATTATTACAAGTACAACTGAATTCAATTTCAAAATTGCTTGAGGCTCCCTTGAAACTTCGTTGTGCCCTGGGGGTGGATGGGGGGGGGGAGGGGCTGCCCCGCCCTTCACTGTTGATAACCACTGATCTAAAGAGGGCCAATCCTATATCTAAAGAAAAATCATGGACAGTCAGGCTATTAGTAAAAAGTTATGTGGACGTTGCAGTCTTTTTTTTTTTTTTTTTAAAGGACGAATAGGTGAGCACACAATGGTTATATAACAATTCTAAGGAAGATGTGGAAAGAAATTACTCACGAAGAGAATTAACTACCCACATCAGAAGGAGACAATATACATTCTTTGCCATGAGAAAGGGAACCCAGACTAAATCATGAAAATGGGACAGTTGGAGGGACAGAGGTTCAGACAGAAACAAAGTGAGAAGATGCTGGTTTATTTGGCTTCATGGGATGAAGGTATATCTTTTTCAGAAATGATTGGTGTACACGAGACAGAAGGCTTGATAGGACATGACTGCTAACGCCATACGACATGGAAACAAAGTCAGGGACAAAGAAAGATGGTGGCTTGTTTGGCCTCGTGTTCTAAAGGAATATCTGTTTCAGAAATGATTGAAAGTACGTGAGACAAATGATTGTGGACTGACGTGATCACTAACACCAGTGGCGAGACGTGATCATTTCGCACGTGTAAGCGTTAGCAAGTAACGATTACACCGGATATGGTATTACGTAATATTTTCTTCCATGCCGCTTCGCTTTTGAGTGTATGCGTGCGCAGCTGACATCATAGTAAAAGTCACGTAGAAAAGGGTCCTTGACATTTTACTTTACGTTTAATAATAAGTTCTTTAGTATAACAATTACAATTTATAGGGCCCGTGGCAGACCTTTGAAAATAAGAGGGATCCACATTTCTGATCTAACTGGAATGCCCGGCTTGCTAGCTCAGTTTCTTAGACCTGACTGTGTGGCGACCGGGTGACGAACTCCTTGTGGTACGAGTTCACGCCCGGGGGTAGGAAGAAAAGCCATATTTCTCCCAGATTTACGGTATCTATCATGGGATCAAGGCCAAAGGGTTGCGATACCCATAGTACCGAGCCAAAGGGTTAGCAACTCATGGTTTCTGGATATTTAAAAAAAATCTAACTGGAAACAAAGGAACTGCATAGCCATAATCCGTCTAAGGGATTCATAAACACAGACTTACCTTAAAGCCCGTGGGACACCAGTCAACGAACTGAATGGTCCTCTTGGTCTTGATGGTTGCAATGGCCACGTTGACATCTTTCGGCACAACATCGCCACGGTAGAGCAGGCAGCAGGCCATGTATTTTCCTGGTAGAGATTTGAAATAGTTTACTCCTTGACGTTTTCGGCAGAATTACAATATATTGCTCGCGTTCGGATCGGAAGGTCGTGGGCTCGCTCCCTGGCGGAGCCGGACTTTTTTTTTTTCAAAAATGACGTTGACTCACAGGTCGACCCAGTCTTGAGTAGGTATCGGGTGCAGTCCCGAGAAGTAAAGGCGGTCGGCATGATACTGACCACATCATCCAACTTGTGCCGATTGGTTTATACAAGTATAAGTCTCTCCCTTTAAGCTCTATACACCTTAAGACATGGAAAAGGGACCTTTACTTTACTTACAATATATTATTGTAACTGTTGTATAATCCTATGTTGACGCTATCATTAAGACTCCCTATGTCCCGAAATCTGGGGTACATTGGCCACGCTAATTATCATAGTCGCCTGGAGAGAGCGCGATGGAGGGTAACTTCCCCGAAAACAAAGCAGACCTCAGCGAAAGTGGATTTAAGAAATCTAAGATGCATTAATTATGAAAATATGGCTGAAGAATTAGCTAATGAAACACAGACTTTCAGATGTGCCATGACGAGAGCGACGTTCTCTAAAGGACACGCTGAATGATGATGATGATGATGATGCATTCAAGAAGGCCAAGTATTAGGACGACTAGCACCCTTTCTTGCAGGATGAGACAGTCCAACCACTAAGCAGGAAAAAGAAACAGCTCATGCAAAGCATATTCATCCTTACTCTATGCTACCCCTGGAAGACATTGCCATTTACAACAAAAAATAAAATAAAATTAGTAACCATAAGAATGAGACCCAAGAGCAAAGCTGTGGGTATGACCAGAAAAGAGAAAAATCAACAAGTCATAAAAGAAAAAGTTTACACATAACGGAGTGAAAAAGAAAGTCGCACAGAACGGATTTTAACGTACATATGTACCATGGTAGCAAATAAAAACGGTTGTCCACTTGCAGCGAATGACTTCCAATGTTAGACCATTCAAAATTGAAAGAGAAGTAGACCACGAGGTAGACAATAACAATTTGACAAGACAACATCAAAGAAACGCTATAACAGTACAATGTGTACATGGTCCAGGAGGCTTTGCTAAAGCAGTTTCCACATATGGATGGAAGTATATAGTTTCGCTACCTGAGCTACTCAGTTAAGTGCTTAATGCAGCACTGTGAGCTGTGTTTTTCATACAGAATGATTTTCATTTGTGCAGTTCCCGTGTGGGTTCCGGGGCCTCATTGTGGGGGAAAAAAGAGAAAAGACCCGCTGCCTGCCCAAAAGCATGTCGTAGAAGTCGTCTAATTGGGAGCTTCGTTCAAAGTCGGAGTACATCTGCCTGAAAATCAAGGAACCAACAGTCTGTATGCAAATGTTGCAAACATGTGAAACAGATGTGCACGCAACACTCCGTTTCTGGAACAGGGCTAGAGTCCAGAAGTGGACGAAAAAACCAGAACATTTTGCCTAAGTTTATAGCCGTTAAACGCGAAAAAGAAGAAGATTTGTGCTGCAGCTGAGTCGTGATGTGTAGTGTGCCGGTAGCTGCTTTGCGTATGGACTGATGAAAACCTTAGGTAATATTCTTATGTGTTTACAGCCAGTAGAGCAAGACACAGAATCTCCCTCGAAAACCAAAGCAGTAAAAGAGGAACTGAAGAAGAAGAAGAAGAAGAAGAAGAAGAAGAAGAAGAAGAAGAAGAAGAAGAAGAAGAAGAAGAAGAAGGAGGAGTAGGAGTAGGAGGAGAAGAAGATGCTGCTGCTGCTGATGATGACAATGATGATGGTGATGACGGCGACGATGGTGATTATGATGATGATGATGATGATGAACCAACATTCTAAGTACGTAATATAAAAGCAGAAATGACACTCACCTAACATGGGGTTACATTTCACCATCTGGTTAGCAGGTTCGAAGCAGGCGTTGGTTATCTCCGCCACGGTCAACTGCTCATGGTACGCCTTCTCCGCAGAGATGACGGGTGCATACGTCGCCAGTGGGAAGTGAATGCGTGGGTAGGGCACTAAGTTTGTCTGACATGAAAAATAAGACATTGACACTATTTATTTTATAAAGCCATCTCCCCCCCTCCACCACCCGTTTCTTCTTCTTTTTCTTCGCGCTTAGCAGCTTTAAACTCTAGCGGGACGTTTTGGTTGTTCATCCACCTTTGGACTGCAGTCCTGTTCTAGAACCTATTGCATGTGCATCCGTTTTACAGATCTGACCAATTTGTATGCAGACTGCTGGTTCCTTGTCTCTCAGGCAGATGCACTCTGACTTCGAATGAAGCTTCCAATTATTCGGCTCTTACGAAATGATTTTGGGTAGGCAGTGGGTCTATTCCCCCCCCCCCCCATAATAGGGTCCCGGAACCCACACTGGGAACACTCTGCCGTTTAATTTCTTCTTCTTCTTCTCCTTCTTCTTCTTCTTCTTCTTCTTCTTCTTCTTCTTCTTCTTCTTCTTCTTCTTCTCCTCCTTTTTCTTCTTCTTCTTCTTCTCCTTCTTCTTCTTCTTCTTCTTCTTCTTCTTCTTCTTCTTCTTCTTCTTCTTCTTCTTCTTCTTCTTCTTCTTCTTCTTCTTCTCCTCCTTTTTCTTCTTCTTCTTCTTCTTCTTCTTCTTCTTCTTCTTCTTCTTCTTCTTCTTCTTCTTCTTCTTCTTCTTCTTCTTCTTCTTCTTCTTCTTCTTCTTCTTCTTCTCAACACGTCAAACTGAATACATTTTAAGAACGCAACAGTCAGTTTTAAGTATGTCGAGATCTCACTGAGTTCCTCCTCAAATATGCAAGTGTAAACAAATGTATTCCAGCAACAGATGTTATAACCGGTAATGTAAACTTCAGCCGTTGTGTTTATCACTATGTCCTATGTCTAGTTTATTTTGAAAAAAAGGTGGTATTTCAAACCTATAATTAAAATCTTTTAAATTGCACAGGCGATCTACTTTACTCATCTACATCATAAAAAGTAGACATTTTGAAGCACTGCTGAATGGCATTAACACATAAAGAACACATAATAATCAAACCTGGAATTCAGTCAGGTCCACATTGAGGGCTCCGTCAAATCTGAGGGATGCGGTAATCGACGACACGATCTGGCCAATCAGACGGTTGAGGTTTGTGTAAGAAGGCCGCCCGATGTCAAGGTTGCGACGACAGATATCGTAGATTGCTTCATTATCTACCATAAAAGCGCAGTCTGAGTGCTCCAAGGTTGTATGGGTGGTCAAAATGGAGTTGTATGGCTCCACCACAGCTGTAGACACCTGTAAAGTTTTAAATAATGAAGGCTCTTTTCTTTTATTTCACCCAATCTGGATGGCTCGGAGATTTCATAGGGAATTCCCGGGAAAGTCTAATATTATGGGGGGGGGGGGGGGGAGGGGGGGGTAGAGTTAGTTGGTGTCCATTTCACACACTAAGACCTCTATATTGTTGGGCTTTTCAGGGATTTCCGTACGAAATCTCGGAACCCCCGAGAAAGAAAAAAAATTTTTTTTTTTTTTTTTAAGTTTGTAGTGTCAGTAAAAGTTTATCAGCCCGGGCCGTATTTAGGATGGATGATGACCCTGCGAGGACTGGCTGGCCGAACGGTTAGAACGTTCGTCTCTCATGCGGGAGACCCGAGTTCAAATGCTCGGTAAAGTTGCGGATTTTTCAGTCATAGGAAAAATAAAATTCTCACCCGCACAGTACGTGGCGACAGAACTAGCCATGCAGTTTAAATCCCCAGGCTCAAAGACCCCCCCCCCCCCTCCTTGCCTACACAGCAAAAGTGGTATCATAAGGGCAATAATTTGCAGTTATATTGGCAGATGTCCTTGTTAAGTCATTTATTTTACGCCCCCTATTGTCCTCGTCGGGGAGCCGCCGTGTTGTAGCGGTTAGACTGAGTTTGTGACGGAAGCAAGGAACTAACAGTCGTATATAGCGGGAGACAACGAGAGAAGTCGCTTGACAACCTTGTGTGAAGTCATAGAATTGTGTCAGCATATGAACTGCTGTTGGTGATCACAAGATGAGAGTCATCATGGCCCATGCAAGACACTTGATGATTTTTTTTTTAATCGCGTAAATCACTAAGCGCTCGTTAATTACTTCGTGGATACATTGCATTCTTTTAAAAATCAAAACTCAAAGGCATGTCTTGTATGCAGGGAATAGTAAGTAATACATGAACACCAACTTGATTCCCGTACAAAATGAGGACTAGGCAAGAACAATAAGCCTCGAAATTATTTTTTCCTCCGACAGCGCTTTGCTAATGCAGCTCCCACTTATGGATGGAAATTCCCGGTTTCGCTGCCTGAGCTACTGAGTTGAGTGTAGCACAGTGGGCTGTGCTTTTTCATGTGGAATGCCTTTCATCTGTGCAGCGGCTGTGTCACGATATTCAATGTGACCGGTAGCCGGTTTACGTATGGGCAGATGAAATACCTTAGGTAATAATCTTACGTGTTTATAGCCAACTTATTGTGTCAAACTACTTACATCACCGACAAACTGCATTTTATGGTTGCGACTGTTGGCTTTGACGCCTCTAGCAACTGCTGTATGCATTTATTGCGTGCGCATATTTCTGGATTGTTGTGTGACTAATTGTTCATTCACCATTTTGTGTGTGTGTGTGTGTGTATGTGTGTGTGTGTGTGTGGGTGGGTGGGTGGGTGGGTGGGTGGGTGGATGGATGGATGGATGGATGGAACAATGAGGGAATTTCATTTGATTTTAACTGGCACATGAACGGAGCAAGTAATTGGTGACCCGATTTCAGTGACTTTGAACCATCGGCTACGAATCAATTCCTTACGTCCTTCTTAGGACGTTATTTTTTGTTATTTGAAGCCCCACTCTGGCTTTTGCCAGGGGCCGCAATATAGGCAGGTCATCATTATGGCCAAATGTCTGAACGCGGTTTCTGGGACCTCTCCACGGTGATCCTCATCCGCATGGTGGCACTTTGTGTCATCGGGTGTTTATCGCTTGTGTGATGTCCCGGTGGGGTAAAAAGCCAGCCAGCCAGGAATGAAGAATTCCCCCCCCCCCCCCCCCTCCCCAGCTATATTCTTATTCACACTGCCGCTACAAAGCTCACCTGAGGTGCTGGGTATATGGAAAACTCCAGTTTAGATTTCTTGCCGTAGTCGACGCTGAGTTTTTCCATGAGCAGCGAAGTAAAGCCTGACCCAGTTCCGCCCCCGAAGCTGTGGAAGAGAAGGAAGCCCTGCAAGCCAGTACACATCTCAGCCAGCTTCCGGATTCGATCCTGAACTAGGTCGACGATTTCCTGTTGGTAGAAAAGGCATTATCGTATTTGAATAAAGACAGCGATGACAGCGATTAACATGCAAGAAGTGCCGCCGTGGTATATCGCCTACAGGCTTTCCTGCGTATAGGGATTCAGGCCCTTATGGAGCCGGTTTTCCCTCCACAAACTACCGTGGCTCCCAAGGCGACCCAGCCTTATATACGCAACAGGTAAAGCCCTGGGGAGTAAAGGCGGCTGGTATGGTATTGACCACATCACGTATTGATTTCCGATTTGTTTTTAAAATATAGGTCAAGCCCTATATGCCTTAACGAGCCTGAGGGCTTGGGAAAGCCTCCTTTATTTTAATTTTAAAATATAAAAATAACTATGCTGCGTAACCTACTGCAAATGAAACAGTCTCACACAAACTATGTCAAGACTAAGTCGGCTCTGTGGCTAAGTCGATGCGGACGCTTCGTAATGCCGGAGTGCCGGGTTCGATCCCAGCTGCGGGCCGTGCGCCTTGCGTTTCCACAGTAGTATCAGTGGGCCGGCTGCCCAGTAAGCAATGGCAAACTGCTAGACGTAAATTTGCCTAGATAAACCACACAACAGCCAGGGACTGTCGGGGTTGGTTCTGCAACGTTGTAAAGAATTCGCAAAAAACCTATGTCAAGACTGGCTAGTAAACTTGTCTCGGTGACTGAAATACTTTAGCCTTGTTATTGAGCGTACCGGTGGAGACGGTCTTGGTTGTACGGTGTTCGGTCCCTTTTCTTTCATCATCAGCATATAACATGCCCCCTGTAGAGTGAACCTCTAATCAAGACTAGCAGGAAACATTCTTGTTCTTTTGTTTATTAGCTTGCTTCGTGTACTTCATGCCCAGGGTGCCTTCAGCATTCGCACCCACATTCACGCTGGTGTATTTCTACCTCCTATGACAAAAATCATGGCTTCTGTTCTCAGCTATCCCTGCGTTTCATCTCGCCAGCATATTTGACAGAGACACGACGCTGTTTCTGACCCAATTTTATTCAGTGTTCAGATCTAGTAAAATATTAGCATTGAGTAATGCCACTTGTTCTTGAGTCGTGACATTAAAATAATTTGTAACATTTATATTTAAAGAGAAAAAAGGTCATTAGTTACAAAAGTATGGCTTTTTGTTGTTGTTGAAAGCGAAAAATGTCATGGGCGTCGCTACTGCCAGCGACACGATGTGCCTGAATCCTATTAGGAAGAATATATAGATAACGCATTTTACTGACTGACAGACGCACTGGAGAAATTATATTCAGACTTCAAGCACGTCTTCTCATCGAAACTGATATTTAGTTTCCAATGCTTGAATTAAAATTTTCCCTATCTGGGTTCCGGGGATCCATTTTGATTAATTAAAAATACACCCAGGGCCAACCCCCCCCCCCTCTTTTTGTCCCATGATGTCGTAAAAGGCGATTAACTGTGGGTGTTTCTTTAAAGTCAGAGTGCATATGCCTGAGAGATAAAGTGCCAACAGTTTGCATACCAATAAGCTAGATTTGTAAAACGAAGGTGCATGAAAAACTCAAGTTCTGGATCACGACTAAAGTTCAGGAGTTGACGAACAACTAGAAGTTTCCAGAAAGTCCGTAAAATTGCGTAAAAACATTAGAGTCGTCTTAACCAGTATGCTGGCACATGGTGGTCAAAGTGGAGGTTAGACAAGTTCACTGTTTTTTTAGTCAGGGCAAACTTTTGCTTCTTACAGACGGTGGCCGTTGCATTTTCCCTCCATTTATAGACTGAAAAGATATAGTTTTGTCGCTCAGCTACTGAGTTGGGTGCATAGCGCGGCACTGCGAATTTCGTTTGAAAGTTTTTCGACTGCGACCAGCGTGGTGATGTGAACTGTAGATTTAGAAAATGGCGAGTGACTTTCTGTAACAGAATTTGTGGCGCCGTATGTGATAAAAATTAATCGCGTGTGCAACTGCTGATCTGTTTGTAACTGCTGCTTTCGTCGATGATGAACTGCATTCTAGAGTAGCACTTCTGATGGCTGCCTTATGCTTTTAATGCGTGTGTATACTAGTGGATATGCTGAGACTGCAGTCTATGTCAATTCTTCCATAAGGGAAAGTGATAGGCATTCTGTGTGCTTTCTGTTGGCATAGGAGCGGAGCAACTATGGAGTGACCCGTTTGCAATGAAGCTGAAACTAAGGCTACCAGATTACAAGTGTGCTGGGGCCCCTGCGGACAATTCCTCACATGAAATTTTTATTTATAGCAAGTCACTTGACATGCATAGATTAGCATGGGACCCCCCAGCAAGTCCATGTGTTAAAACAGGTCTAACGAGTATGCATTCTGTGTATGGGGGTTACCAATGCACCGACTGAAAAGCCTGAGTAGTTAGTTAGTTAGTTAGTTAGTTAATCGACAGATGATTATCCTCATTGCACATCAGACCAATGCACCACAAGCGCTCGGATCCCCTCTTCAATTTATCCCTCAGCGTATGGCGACTGATAACACCAGTTCTATGTTGGTTTACTTTCTTTGGCTACCTGTATAGTGTTCATGTTTGGCGTCACCTCTTTTGATATGAAGTTATATTAGTCTTTTGAGTGTTGCCAATTCAGCGTTGTATCTTGAAAGATCTTCTCGTTCTTGACCCCTCGGCCCAGTACATTGCTTTTGCTATACCTACCGTGGCCCTGCCAGCAAGCCAATCAGTTCGTTTTTTTCCTCTTACCCAGAGTATCGTGGCACAAAAATGAAACCAATTCCTATCGGACGAAATTTCCTCTGCGACTCAAACCACTTTCTTCGAATCCACCCTGTCTCTTTCTATGCATGCTCGTGGAATCACTTAGAAAGCACTCATGGGAAAACTACTGTGTCTCTAGCCATATTATTGCTTTTGTTACCATCATCACCTCCATAGTCAGACTACTTGTATTTGCGGCCTGAGTAGTAACCCGCGGTGACGTAATCATATTGTTTATAAAACATATATTGTTGTTATCTAAAACTGTGTAGCAGTATATCTATACAGTATACCGCCGGGGTGATTTCTGAAATAGCAAACAGCACTCAAACCTCAAAAGATTAGTCCCCACTGATTCATGTGCAAAAGAAGCTTACCTTTCCAATAGTGTAGTGGCCACGAGCATAATTATTAGCAGCATCTTCTTTGCCGCTCATCAACTGCTCGGGGTGAAACAGCTGCTTGTAAGTCCCAGTGCGAACCTCGTCTGCAAAATTAACAATAAATAATAAATAGAAAGTTAAAGTTAAAGTCGAGACGATCGACTTCATAGCACCGGGTTTTATCCCATATGGTTAGGTCTCTCTCAGCAGAACGGCTAACCTCCTGCCCAGAGCGTCGCACAGAGCACGAACTCCGTAGCTCGGACGACGATCCCCACTGATTTCCGTAAAAATTGCACTCGTGATCTGCAGCCGTGAAACGAATTCATGACCTTCAGAGAGCGAGGCAAACGGCTTGACCACGAAGACCTTCTCTTCTCCCTCCCTAACTTTTTAGAAGAGATGTTGTACTTCACTTCTTATTACAACACTTCTTATCCGCAACAACGTATAACCAGCGATTCCATGTCACATGCCCTATAACTATGTCATACAGTTTATTTCAAGAAATACAATGTCACGCTAGTTCATGCTATGGGCGTTGGCAGTCACAGCCTTCTGTCTCGTATACTTTCAATCAGTTCTGACACAGATGATCTTACATGCCATTATGTCAAACTGTCCATCATCTTCTCTCTTATTCTCCTTCTGCGTCTTTCCTCCTCCAACTTTTCCCCGTCAGAATGTGCTCTAATTTTCTCCTACTCATTATATCACCAAAGAATGTACGAGCAGATTGTCTCCTTCTGAATAATTTTTCGCTCATCTTTCACCTGTCCGTGATTCATTTCTGAATATGAGAATAGGATTTATATATCTCTTGAGAATTCTCTTTCTCGTCTAAATTGACCCCTCCCCCCCCCCCTTTTCTCCCTCTCTCCACCCCCTCCAAAAGAATGCTGCCCTCGCCTAAGCTATTCTACATTTAACTTCTTTAATACATCTTCCATCTGCTGTTATCAGAATAGAGATACTTTTAACGGAGTTACATTAACAAGTTAAACAGATTGCTTTACCTACCAATAACTGTAGGCTCTAGGTCAACAAAGACAGCACGGGGTACGTGTTTGCCTGAGCCAGTTTCACTGAAGAAAGTGTTGAAAGAATCATCGGCAGACCCAATGCTTTTGTCCGAGGGCATCTGTCCATCGGGCTGAAATAACAGTAATTCTGAAGATGTAGAAATGTAAAGTCTAGCAGATTAACTCTATTGCACAATGTTGCATAGTCAAAACAATGTTTTCCCGTTATGATTTTAAATAATGCGGACACAAACAATAGATTGCACAATTTATTTCGAGGCATATTTCACTGTATCTCACCAGGTGCGTTACTACAGAGTTACACAACATAAAATGAAGCACAAAACTGAATAAATCCAACTGAAATGCGAATAGTTTCTTTCGACGTATCGTGTGTGTGTGTTTAGGCATAGGGCATAGGTCAGTTTCCAGTGATACAGCATGCAGTCGGTCTATGGAGGAAACAGGCTGGACGCTGGTTTCACCACTGAGCATAGCTGAGCATTTTCCTATAGCAGACAACTTCAGCTGCATCATCAGATGCTTGACGGCCTCTTCGTTTGCAGTCTCTGCAATTTCTCTGTCATCGTAATTTGCCTCTTCGTCTTCTCTATCTTTTTCGGGCACTGCTATTGTGGTCTGTACTTCGGTCATTATCGCTTGGAAAATTCCTTCTGGGCCAGGTCCGTTATAGGTTGACACCTCATCATCCATTGCAACGGAACTTTCAAAATCTATTCCTTCGAATTCTGCCATTGGCGGTGGAATGCCCGATGGGACTCAGACGTGTTGCTTTGGGTTGTGATAATCCAGTTGTGTAGAAACAGTCCAGTACCTTAATCTGAGCCTTCACTGATGTATTGGATGAAGTTGCGAGCTAAATATATGTCTTTTAAAAGTGATCCACTAAAACAGCCGGGCCAATAGCCCTGTAGGTCGTGTTTGGTGGTATAAATTTCAATGTCTCATTAGTGAGATAAGAAACATGTGGGTGGCTAGGACAGTTGTCTACTGTCAATAGAAGGGACTCTTTCTGTTTATCTTAATTTTGTCGGCGTATGTCCCATACCCACTCATCAAAAAGATCGCCAGGCACCCAGGCAAATTTGTTTAATCTCCAAGTAACTTAGAGGTCTTCGGGCTCCAGGTTCTTGAACGTGCATAGTTTTTGTTGATTTACCAATCATCAGTTCATCAGCAGTTGCTTTATTCTCTTTGAGGTTGAGCTAACGCATGGTATAAGTGTGTGAAACATTCTTTGGAAAGTTTTCTGCTCTTGCATTTGTCACTCTTTATGTCGAGGGTTCTCTCAGGTATCGTCTTGAAAAAGAGTCCGCCATCGTCAGCATCAAAAATGTTGTCTTTGATGTAAAATAAAGCGGCATATTTCTTAATGTCGCTCTATGAACTCTTTGAGAGTTTCATCTCTGCACTTTGAGGTCAAAAGAAGTACACCGTACCATTGCAATGACATTTAAACAAATAGCTTGTATTACATTAATCCAGTGGGCAGACATGAGCGGACAAGTAATCATACAGACATAGACAAACAAACATAGACAGATAGACAACCGCAGACAGACCGAAGTCTTACCTGTATGCCATGCTCCAGACAGTACAGCTCCCAGCAGGAGTTGCCGATCTGTACACCGGCCTGGCCAATGTGCACACTGATACACTCCCGCTGAAAACCAAAGCAAAGCTCACTTTATGCATGTTGCATGAAGGGGTTGCCTTAAAGAGCATTGATAAAATAGCAAGGTTTAGGTCAAGCGAGCCGGACATAGACTCCTGGAAATGTGATGAGAAGTAGAGCATATTGAGCACCATTTGATCAATACAAATATGGGGGTCATTAATATATACTCGTATTTAGGAAATGCAACGATTGTGAGGAGGAGACTCGCTCTTTGTGTTTAGCATTATCCGCCACCAAAGAAATACAGGAAGAGAAATGATATGCCGTCCCGATGTACGGGTAAGTCAAGTGATTCGCGGTCTAATGTCAGTTGCGGCTCTGGTGGTTTGAGGCAGCCTGGCGGCTCGGATGAGGCTCGGGTCAGCACGGGTGGGCAGTAGGGGCGGGGTCGTTTTAGGGGTTAAATAATAGAATGAATAAAACTAGGGGTATTGAATTGCTTGGCGACGGAGGATATAAAGTAAACCCCTGTTATATAGTAGAAATAAAAGTGATAAAAAAGAGCGATAGGACACTAGGACTTATATAAGTTATATAGTAAAATAGAAGAAGACTGTGTTGACTGGCTTTTTTTAGGGGAATATCAAGTATATATGTTTTTTTTTTAAATATGAACAACTGATTATAGTGTAAGAATATAGAGTTAGTCGCATATATATATATAGAAACTGTAACATGTAACAACTAGGAGAGAGACATCAAATGTAATTACTAGGACACAAAATGTAACAACTAGGAGAGAGACATGCAATATCAGAGCTAGGAAAGGGGTCCAAATGGAGCAATGATGCGCAATACAAGACTCTTAATGTCTATTAGCCTCTCTTGCTCAAGCCTACCTCACCTTCACGTGGTGGACCCTGTTCTTCCCAGCAATCCAGTTGAAGGTTGGGGTCTCAACCCCCAGCAGGAAACTGGATGGGACAACAAACGAGGTAAAGGCGAAAGACAAAGGGATGAGCCTACTCTCCTCGAGTATGACCACAGTCTACCCTTGCAAAACAAGGTGCTGAAGTCGGAGGCAATCAGCCAGGAGGCGCACCACAGCAATCAGGATGCCACGCACACACGCCATAGAAATATGTCTAAATCAGCAAAACGATATGGTGCTCGCCATGTGATGGACTCTCAGACAGGAGCAGTGCCGGGCCCTCTGCCTCGAAGAGGCCCAAACCAAATTACTGGAGGTCCTTCTCAAATGTCCTGTGGAGCCAGGGGACATGAGAATAGAGCATCTGGCCGAGCTAAGATAGGAGTCAAAATAATGCACTGGAATGGAGTTAGAAAATATTCTAAATGAGGAACAGATTCATATATGCTGTCTACAAGAAACCCAACTCACAGAAGAACAGTCTTCAAAATCAGAGGTTATCAGTGCTTCCGATCAGACCAGAAAGGCAGGAAAAAGGGTGGAATACTGACTCTTGTGAGGAACAATATCACTGCGTGCCAGACTGAAGTATGTATGGATGGAGCAGAATATCAGATTTTAAAACTGCAAACTGGAAATGCAGACTTCTACCTGAGAAATTATTACTGCCCAAGTGATCGTCCCCAAGCACTAGACACAAGCCCAGTAGAAGCAAAGATGATTCTATGTGGAGACTTTAACAGTCACTCACAAGGCTGGGAGCACGACCACACAGACCAGAGAGGAGAGAAACTGGAAGAGTGGCAGGATGAGAACAGACTTGTTCTGATAAATAGGCCAACTGATCCACCCACATTCTACTCGAGGTCGTGGCACACCACTAATACCCCAGACCTAGCATTTCATTCTCCAGATCTGGAATGGAACATTACACGAGTTGTTGGAAAACAACTGGGAGGCAGTGATCATCGACCGGTCTTCCTGAATGTAGAAAATGAGAAGGTCAGAGAAACGAGTACGCTGCCAAGGTGGAACTACATGAAGGCTGACTGGACAATCTTCAACACCGTACCAGTATTCTGCTTGGAAATCTCAATGTAGACCAGGATATAAACAAAGTAGTTAAAGAATTTAACAAATGCATGCTACAGGCAGTAGGAGAATCAATACCAAGAGGTGCCCGTAAGCATTATAAGCCATACTGGAATAGTGAACTAGAAAATTTACATAACCAAGTGGAAAGATCTAGAAAGAAAGCAGAGACCAGGCCAAACCAAGAACATCACAATAACTACCAGCATGCGAAAGCAAAATTTGTTAGGGCAAAGCTGCAAGTTAGAAGGGAAAGCTGGCAGGAGAAAACAAGATCACTGGACTTTGAAAAAGACACAAAAAAGTTATGTAAGCTTGTGAAACAAATTAATGATGAGGACACAGGATGGAACTCAAAGATCACGCGGCTGAAAGATGAAAACATGGTCACAGGAAAAGAGGCAGCCAACCTCTTTGTAGACACTTTTGCATTAGATAATGACATTGAAATCAGTTCAGAGAACAAACAAGAAATTCAAGAAAAGACACTATTCAAAAGCCAGAAAGAAATAACACAAGAGGCGCTAGAAGTGCCACTTACACTTAATGAACTGGAGTTAGCCATTTCAAAGCTGAAAATGCGGAAGTCACCAGGAGCAGATGGTATATGTAACGATATGATAAAAAACTTAGGAACAGTGGCCAAAACAAATCTTTTACAGATATTTAATGCTTGCTGGGCAACAGGAAATGTTCCACAGACCTGGAGAGAGGCAATTATGATACCCCTCATAAAGCCCGGGAAAGACAGTTCTAATGCCTCCAACTACAGACCGATCAGCCTCACAAGCTGTCTCTGCAAAACAATGGAGCGCATCACCAACCTCAGACTACAATGGTAAATTAAAAATGGAAACATCATTACACGACAGCAGACGGGCTTTAGAAAGTTCTACTCTACGGAAGACCAGACAACATACCTCTCCCAGGAAATAGAGGATGCTTTTCAAGATAAGAAACTGGTACTCGCGGCATAGATAGATTAAAAAAAAAAAAAGCTTTTGACAAGGTTTGGAAGGAGGGGCTTTTGAAGAAATTGAGAAACTATAAAGTAAATGGAAGAATGTACAATTCGATTAAAGCATATCTACATAACAGAAGAGCCAGGGTACAGGTAGATTGTTTCAAAAGTAAAAATGTTCTACTGCGACATGGCGTCCCTCAAGGTGGTGTCCTGTCGCCCACACTTTTCCTCTTATTCATCAACGACCTGGTTGCTGAAATACCAAATGGAATCAAAATGGCAATGTATGCCGACGACCTGGTACTGTGGTGCACCGATGAACACGCAACGATAGCCACAAGAACACTACAGCGGGCTACATATGCACTTGAGGTATGGGCGAATAGATGGTGTGTCCGCATCAATACAGACAAATGTAGCACCACACTTTTCACTCTTTCCCCAAAGCAAAAAGCGGGCATCATCAAAATAAACGGAACTCCCTCTAAGAGATAATAAAGAGCCAACGTACCTCGGAGTCACATTTGATGACAGGTTGACATGGAGAAAACATATCAACAAGGCAGCAACCAAAGCCAGGAGGAAGACAGCAAACTAAGAAAACTAAGTGGAACCACATGGGGAGCCAGTGGGAAAATACTCAATAAAGTATACAAGCAGAGCATACAACCACACTTGGAATATGGGTCAACTGCATGGTGTTCAGCATCTAGTACCACATTAAAGGAGTTAGACAAAGTGCAAAATCAAGCACTCAGAGTCATCACAGGAGGGATGAAATCAACCCCCATATTATAAATGGAGAAAGCTGGGAAAACACAGGCACTGAGAGAACGCAGAGATACAAAGTTGCAAATACAAGCTGAAAAGTTCCTCAGTATGACAGATCACCAGATGGAAAATAGATTTCATAACCTAGCCTTGGGACGTTTAAAAAGAAGCAGCTTTATACATCAAGCAAAAAGAATATGTAAAACCTCTGACCTTCCTGAAATTGGTTGTCCATTTAACAGTATTCCAGAACAAACCCCATGGAGAGAGAAATGCAAACTAACAGTACAAATCCAGACAAATGTGAAAGGAATATTTGACAAGAAAGAGCAAGATAGTGTACAACGTAGAAGGGCCACCCTCAGTTATACTGATGAAGAATACCCACAAGAACAATGGGTCAGAGTCTATACGGATGGGTCCACTGAAAGTGCAGTTAGAAATAGTGGTGCTGGAGTGTACATAGAATTCTCAGATGGTACTAGGGATAAGTCCAGCGTACCAACCGGAAAGTACTGCCATAACTATGGTGCAGAAACTCGGGCTATCAAGATAGCGACAGAGAAATTGCTAAATACCAATATTGGCTCACAGTATGTAGTAATGCAAACAGATGCAAAATCAGTGCTTAAAGCACTCAAGTCTAGGAAACTACCAGAGTTGCAAACACCGCCGACACAACTTAGCTTTCAGCGAAGAGTTGTAATGCAGTGGATACCATCATATTGTGGAGTGCCTGGAAATGAGAAAGCTGATCAACTGGCAGGGGAAGGTGCGACAAAAGAGCAGCCGGATGTACCAGTCACATACCACCAAAAGAAAAGAATCATTGAATCAATCAGGAAACCACCAGCTCCAGCACAAGACGACTATTTTATTATGGACAGATCAGAACAAGTCATTATCCTCCGCCTCAGAACAGGGCACAACCGATTACGTAACCACATGTTCACAAAATTCAAGATGGGCGTATCAGCCATGTGCACCTGTGGAAAGGTGCCCCAGACAGCAGAGCATGTACTCCAGGACTGCACCGAATTTGACACATTAAGACAAACCTTATGGAACGTAAACTCTATGGACCACTGAATGAATTAACAACAACAGTGAAATTTATACAAGAGACAAAATTGCGAACGAAAGAAGAAGAACAAGAAGAAGAGCTAGGAAAGAGACAAAAAATATAATAACTAAGAGAGAAAAATCGAATGTAATGACTTGGAAAGAGATATAAAATGTGACAACTTGGAGAGACATGGAATGTAATAACTAGGAGATAGACATGTA